ACTACGGCATCTCTCATAATCATATGGTGGTTTCGGGACGTTAAACCCCACATATCAATCAATCAATCGGGTTCCACTGTACCTGTTTGCGTTCAAAAGCAAGCAAGGCGTATTGAGCATTATGTGTGCATTTTGGAAGGTTCACTTAATCTGAAGTTACCTAAGTGCTTGCCGCATTTTCTTAATACCTTTCATAAAACTGCTGTGCCAGAAGCATGTCACACCAAGACATGTAGACACCATTCTTGAGCAGATGTAATCGTTACGTGTTAATATTGGCAAGAAAATGTCTTAATTCACTTTATTATGCCATGTGGCGTGCTCAATGTTCTTTGTGAAAGATTGTCAGGAATGTCTTTCAGGATCTTTTCAAGAACCGAAAGCAACAAGGGAGTACCAGAAGTATACAACACAAGTGCTTGTGTTGTGTCCTTCTTCTGGTCCCCTGTTTAGTAGCTCTTACGTAACTTTTGTCAACAGTACGTGTGGCATACGTGTAGGATGTTGGTGGCGAGATTCATGTATACACAATAAAAAAACTGTAATGCGGAGGTGGGTCCTTATCAAGTTCACTGCTGGCGATGTAGCTGTATCTGTTGTTCTTCTTGACAGTTTTGCACTGAGAATGTGGCACATGCGGACGCTCCCAACAAAAAAAAAAAAAAAAAAAAAAAAAATGAAAGAGGAAGGTTTGGTGTGAGGGCTCATTCTTTTTTTTTTTTTTTTAAGTTTAATGGCTGTCTTCCAGCTGATGTGTCTTGTACAAGAAAACAATGATAAGGCTCTATGCTACGTGACCTCATTTGGCAACGATAAGGAGTGTTCCACACTCGCGGTAATGGCTGCTAGTGGCGCTGGCTAATACTTTCAGGATTATGGAAACTTAAACACCCAATAAAGTGAATTATGAAGCGACCGCCCCTGTAGCTCAATCGATAGAGCATCGGACACTTTATCTGAAGGTTGCCGGTGTGGTCTTTACCTGTGGAGAGTTGGTTTTTCATTCACTTCAATTACTTTCTATTCAGGTCAGAATTACTGTGCTACAATTAAAACTTACAAGTAATGCGTCGTATACATTCCTTGGCTTCATTTTTTGTTGAGTTCAACATGTTGTGCCCAGCCAACAAGGCTGTATGAATGGCAACGCTGTTTGCGCAGGTGCGAACTATCCGGGTAGAGAAGCGCATCAACGAGATCGTCAACCGGCTGATGAAGACGAAGGAGGAGCGGCAGCCGGACCTGCGTGCCGAGCGGGAGGAGCGGGACCACAAGGAGCGCGAGGACAAGAAGCAGATCCTCCGTGAGCAAAAGGAGCGCGAAAAACAGGAGCAGAAGGAGAAGGAGGAACAGGCGAAGCTTAGGTGAGTGCAACATAATGCAACTGGGAAGAAGATCCTTATGGTCTCTTACAGTAAATTAATCTCTTTATATGTCATTTTGTGAACTGCATGCAATTCTACACATGCTAGATATGCCTCTACTGTGTATTCCGTTATCTATACCCCATTCCATAAACTGAGGGCAGTGCTGCAAGCGCTTGTGGTACCTGCTGTGTATAATGTCTTTATATTCCATCTCGTAAACATCTTTAAATGCTGCGAATGCTAGAGCAGTTTCTACTGTGTATTTGTTTATCTATACTCCGTTTTGTAAACTGAGGCAAATGCTACAAGTTCTAGTGATCTCTATTGTGTATTCTTCTCCATTTCATACATAAACTGCAGGCAATACCATTAACACTACAATGACCTCTACCTTGTAGTCATCTCTCTATATTCTACTTTGCAAGCTGCAGGCAATGATTCAAATGCTGGGGGGATTTCCACAGTTTCATCTCTCTATACTCCCATTTCATAAAATGTAGGCAATATTACAAACGCTGGGACAGTCTATACTGTGCACTCACCTCTCTATACTCTCTGAATTTGCTGAACTCGTTGTAAAACAGTGAACATGTCGAGTAGCTAAGCCATTTTCACTGCAGTTTTTATCAGCTTTGGACATATTTATGTTTTATTCCTTGTAATTTGAAAGATGCCTCCTGTTTTAAAATTTTATTGCAAAATACGCAATTCCTAATTCTATCTTATAGCTCTCGCACTACTGACATAACCAATAAGAGTGGAAGCTTTGAGCAAATTGGTAAGTGTTCACCTTGGTTCATACCGCACACACAAGAGGAGGAAGAAGAATAAGAAAGACATGCAGCGCCTGTCTTATGCTTCTTATTTTTCGTCGTCGTCTTGTATGGGCTGTGTCAACCAAGAGGACATTATAAAATTTCTGAAGCTTTAATTTGCATCCAGTCTTTGGGTTTTAGAGCGAATTATGTGCTAAGTGACTTAGGCAAGGCATAGGTACTTCATTACTCTGCCAAAAAGATGAGCTGTAAAACTTTTGTCCTTCATCTTTTATATCTGTTGCAGGAGTTATGACACCTTGATGAAAGGAGAAAACATGAAATCAAACAAGGTATGAGTCATTCAATAATTTGGGATAGACTGACACCATTTTGCTTAAATCTTTCTCTTCTTTACTTCTATATGGCTTCAGGCCGCGTGTCTTTGAATTTCGAACGCGAGCATTGCAACATTGCAAATGTTGCTTTTTAAATTCATTTATCAGTTGATCATCAGAGAATCTAATGCCCTTGGTGCCAAAGCGATACGCCCTTAAAGTTTATCAATGCAGTCTTAGGGAAGAGATGGAATCAGTAAATGCCATTCAATCACCAAGAAAGTCTGTGATTTAAAAATAACGCATCGATTGTCATTTATTTTTGTTTGAAGTTTGCAGCTGGCTACTCGTTAGCAGTGTCCAAATGTAAGTCATTGTCGGTAAAGCCTGGACATACCCCCTGTAAGAAGACATGTGCTCAGAACAAGTTAACGAATAGACTACCTATATTTTGAATTAACAAATTGATTTTATACCCAAGTCTCTCTTTTCTCATATATCCAGAATTTTTCTACCTTTAATGTTAGGTTGGTCAGCATAATAAGCGCTTCAGAAATTATGCTTAATACGGACATGAATGTACGATGTCACGGTTTAGCTTTAATTACCTGAATTCTTTATGTACAATCGCTCACTTCGCTTTCCTTTCGTATTTTTTTCTATTTATCTGCAGGAAGATGGCTATGACTCGGATGACTTCATGTGATGTCCAATCTGCTTCAGCCCGTGTAATAAGTGTATAATAAATATAGAGTTTTATCAATTCGCTGTCCTCTTCTGTTTTGCGACACTCTGCATGGACAGGCTGTTCAACAAGGAATGTCACGGGAGCTCACGTTTTGGCTAGTGGGCTTGTCTGTTTTAAGGGCCTTGTTGAGAGATTGTATTTAGCTACGATGTTTCTTCAGTGCCTCCACTTCAAGCCACCATCTTTTCTTGAACATCCATCTTGTCTGCGTGGAAAAGCAGCATACACAGTATGGTTTATTCTTGGAAAGAAAAACTAGTTCATTGCACAGGATTCATAGACAGGAAGGAACAATCGGCTCATAGGACGGGATTCAGCAACTGCTCATAGGACAGGATGGTTTGCAGGTTGTATATTCATGCACAGGTAAGTTTTAGCACTTCATAAGAGACCATCTCTTTTCAACAAACATTGCTGTTGCATTCGCTCTATCGCTATCTACATGTGTTCCCTTCAAGAATGTACCCTTTAAGAATGCTCCCTTTAAGGTACTGTACTGTACCCGATCCCTTCACTGCAATGTTTTCCAAGCGGAGAAATGTTCATTCTAGATGTTTCAGGCTGCAGTAAATGCAAAAGCTGCAATAGCCTTGGCGTGGAGGCCACTAACTGGAGGACCAAGTGTATGGATTGCACCTGTGGTGAACACTTATTGGCTTTATTGTGTTGTGTTCAGATTATCAAGCACCGAAGGTATGGGTAGCCAAATAACTGAATTAGTGAAATGCTGAAGGGGGGGGGGGGGGTAGCGGCATCACACAGGGTGGGAAGTTTTTCTTGGATTTTTTTATTTGATGACATGTTTTCAGTTAAGTTGTACAAGTGCAAATCTTGCCAAAGAAATGCATGCTACGTGCAGCATAGAATTGGCTTTGTATGTGTTCTATGCTTTATGCATTTGCTTTCAATCTACTAGGTTCTTCGGTGTGAGCTATGCTGGTTCCCTTTTAATGTTTTGCTAGTAGATAATTGGGGCTGTCCCACTTTACGACCACATTTCAAGCAGTCGCTGAAATGACTTCCTTTGCTCTGACACCAAGGAATGTTTTTTGTCACGTGGCATATCTGCATATGTTTTATGGCAAAATATTTATACCGAGCTCATTTCAGCCTGAATAAAAAATGACAGCCACTTTGTTCTCTTCAAGAGTGTGCGCCTTGTAAAGACAATCCCAACTGAAACTTTTATAGCATTGAATATGCAGTAATTATTATCTGATGTGCATGTTTGTGCTGTGAACATTGTATGCTGCCTCTAAGAGTCACCGAAGACTCAGTCAAGCTGTCTAGAGCAGTTTTTATCCCTAAAGGCCATCCAGACTTTCCTGGTAGAATAAACTTTTGAAAGTTCTTGACTGACCTTTTAAGTTGTTTGGCATATAGGTACACCACTGTACTGCTGTTCTCTGCCATTGACTCCAGTGATGGCATTGATAGCTCCTTAATTTTCGGTGCTACGCTTTTGTGACAATAAATAAAGGTCGAATCAATTAAACTTGTTCTCCTGAGGGGGTGGCAGTCAGCCGGTGTGAGAGGATAATAAAAGCCACATTCATTCTTCGCCATTTCTACGCGATATCACATACACTGCTCAAGATGTTTAAAATAGCGAAGTTCAGCGATGAACGGCTTTAATTTAGAGTTTTAGCTAGTCGGGTTTGCGAGCGAGCGGAGCGCGACCCGATAAGAAACTCTATCGCTCAGTACTGATGCTCTCCACACCATTGCCCACACCACGTCCACAGTTGCGATGAGAAACCGGAACTTGATCGTAGCTGCGGTTGTAGTCGAGCAACAATGCGCCCTTACGCCATTTCTGAGTCTGGTCTTGCGTGTCTCCAACCGTGTTGCGTGTGTTGTTAAGCGACTCGAGGCATGGCACGCTGCTCGATTGTCGTCGTGCTCGAAGCCGCCCAAGTGTGTGTGACTCGGCAATGTGAAACTGCGCGCTCGCAAAACCATCGTCTCCTTTTTTAGCGGAGTGCCTCGCGTGAGAAGCGGGCGTCTTGTGCTGCCACTTCAAGATGTCTCGGCACCGGAATGTTCGGACTATGAATTACGATGACGGTACAAAAAAAGGGCTAGTTATTTTTCTGCCAGAGTAGTAGGTCGGATTGTGCGTCCTGACAGCCAGCTCCTCCTTTACACTCGGTTTCGATTCACTGCGTTAGCTCACTGTGAGCGCAACAGGTTTATCGGACGCTCGTTTAAAATGATGCTGCGCTCTGAGCATGGCTTCACCCCAACACGGCTTCGAATTGGCTGCGTGTTGGTTGATTTCGGAACCCGAAACGTAAACACGCGCACGTCAAGTCCCGTTTACCTTTACCGTATGTGTTCCCAGAGCGTGCGCTGTAACACACTACGCGCTTCTCAGTCGACCGTAGGTTACGTTGGTTTGCTCGTACGTGGTTTGTCGGAGTTCGTGGATTAAAATTTTCTGCATCATGCAGTTTGTTCACATACACTACTAGTGATTGGTGTTAAAACTGGATTCTAAGTCCCTAGGTTGAAGCGGTAGTTGTTTTCGAATAACGCGTCTTCCATTGTATCTGCGTCGCGGACCTTGCTACTGCGTTGCTGAGATCACATTTCGCTTACTTTCGTCTCAGTTTCGTACCGCAGTTTATTGGCAATCTAAACAAAACCCGCAACAGTCGTGATGTTCTGTGGATGTCGCCAGTACGCAGCGCTGAGAACACGAAAAAAAATGCTTTTTTTCCTCGCAGACTACGAAGGCTACTATGATGTCTACGGGAGATCACAGGAAGAAGATTCGTGCATATCTCCGACTACAGGTTCGTCTGAAATTTTTGTTCTTCGTGGAGTCCGTTGCCTACTGTAGTGTGATCGTGCAGTGCCTATTGTGCATTGCTGTACGTAATTCAGTGGTTATACACTTCCAGTTTTACAGAGCTGATGGAGGTTCAGCCGTTGTTGGCAGCCTTCCTCTCCTAACGCTTGAATTTAGTAATTGCACTCGTCGCTCAGAAGTGTACAGATCGACAAAACATATTATTAAGAGGCGTTTCATGCCCACGCCTATGTCCCAGCTCTCATTGCCTCAGTAAATATGGGCAAAACATAATTTCCCTAAGTTCAAGCTAGTGGACAAAGCAACGTCAGGAAATCGCTGTCCAGGTTACATCGAAGTGGTGTACCAGCAAGTGTTTGTCATCATGTTTCTAGGCTGGCTGTTCGATGGGTTTCTTGGGCAACTGCCTATCACACGAACAGGTGCCTCCCGAACTGCCCTCTTCATAAGTGGTGTGAGACTTTCCTGCTAGCTGTGCATTGTTGAGATCCCATTGCACAAGTGGAGTGCCTTGTGCATTGAATCAAATAATGGGGATCAGTTTATGGCACCGTTTTGTAGACACAAATTAATGAAGCTAAAGGAACGATAGTTGAGTGTTCATTAAACGTTTAAGAGAACCTAGAGGAATGATAGTGGACAAAAGACCAACTTGCTGCCGGTGTCGAATAAACCAGCAAACTTCATATCACCTGTGCTAGAACGTTGTGCTACGGCCATGGCCGTTCCCTTGTTCACCTTCTCAGGTTCCATGTTCTGTCGTATAGCTGACACTTTCTGTTCATTAATACTTTTTCAGAGGAGCAGTTCCTGTACAACAGGGACAAGCTCCACTCCATGTCATCATTCCTGTCTCCTGAAGTCCTGCAAGAGGAGAACGAGGAGGAGGACGAGGAAGACGAATCCCACAAGCCTGCAACCCGGGAACCCCAGCTCAGTCCCGTGGACGAAGGTGCGCCTGGTGCATTGCTCTATGCTATCTCTCCTTTATTGAAACATTGGCAGTGCAGGGAAACCTGTGACAACAGGCCTCTTACAAAATAGTTTATCATAAGCCGGTCATATCGTACACTGATTATAGTCACTATGGGCTCGACAGATAGTGCTACTGGCTGGCTTATAGTTATAACGCAGTTAATGTTTTTCTATATGCATCTGGCATTGAAATATAGTGTACGAAAGGTTGGTTGGGCCTTTTGGAGGTACGCATACAGATGAAAGCTGAGTTGAACTTTACTGACAGGCTTAGGCGAGGGCCAAAGGAGTTTTTCTCATTGTGTTGCCTCAGTAGAAAAAGCAACCATAATATGGCAGCAGTGTATTATGAGTGCTCACTGGAATAGGAAAGTGGTACTCGAATGTACTAGTGCGAGCTAAGAACCTGTTATTTAAATAATAATAATAATAATAATAATAATAATAATAATAATAATAATAATAATAATAATAATAATAATAATAATAATAATTATTATTATTATTATTATTATTATTATTATTATTGCAAACATTCATAACAAGACATTTGGGTGTTTGGGTGGCGTGATACTAATGACAGGAGGCACATGGTTTCGCGATAAGCATTACAAGTTTTACTACATAAGTTCAGCATGTTGACATAGCTCAGTCGGCTAAGCCCAGGTGTTCCTGGCTCGTAGGTCGTGGGTTCAAATCCTGTTTTCAGGTCGTCGCGAAATAGGGTGGGGATTTTTCTTCTGACTGGCTTTGACTCGTGAATGCATGGCAAACGGTACACTGGATCAACAACACTTGTCCCGTGTATTGGTAGCGTATGCTAAAGTATGGTCTTCACCTGACCAAGGACTTGTCACCCAATCAACATAGCGGCAAGCCCGTGGCGGTGAAGAAACATCTTTTTTATTTGCACTTTTTGACAAGATGTGAACAAAACTTGTTGGTGATCAACCTTTTAGTTTCATTTGCTTACCTATTCTATCCCCGCGTGTATTTGCTTCCTTGCAACACGTCAAGTTAGGCCTAACAACAACATGCCGTTGCCTTAGTCGGCATGTCACTCATGAGAAGTGGTAATTTGTTCGTGAAAGAGTTCCATTGACAACTTAATTCAGGGATTCAGCGAATCCCTTCCAGTATATCAGTGATTTATCTTGTAGATGTAATATGCACTGTACCTAATGGCTATAACAGAATGAGGACAGCCTAGTGTTACTGTAAGTACTTCCTTTCAATCGATGGCCCATTGCTTGCTCTTTATTTACTAAAAAAACGGACAAGGTGTAGAATTAGATCTGTTATTATCAATGAGGGATTTGAGGACAGTTTATTGCTTATGGTTATGAGAATGCAGCTTCAGGTACTCCTGGCCATGTTCACATTTCTCTCTCCTCACACCTTCGTGGTGTTCATTATAACTTCAGTTGTCTGTTTTAATTTGAATTTTATTCTTTTTGACTTGAAACATGATTGCTTCTAAAATATACGCCTGGCATTCTCTGTTTCTTCTTTTTTAATAGAGAGGTGTTCGATAAAGTTATTTCAATCAATACGATTATTTCAGCGAATCAATAAAGAGGTGCAGCACGTTTAGTTCGAATGCGTCTTATGTATCTCGTTAGCTGCAGAATGGCAGCAGATAATTTCCAACGGGAATTATGAAGTCATATCAAAGGACCTTTCACACCAAAAGTGATACCTCAAGATGTTTAATTTTCTTGTATACGCAGGCGCTTCCGACCGATTATTAGTGATGGATGTTAGCATTAAGGTGTTTAACTTGGTTTTAAAATAAGCATAAGTGTTCATCCGAGCTGGTAGCACCTTGTGACATTGCTCCTGGTATGAAGCAGATCGGGGCTTCGTGGGAGGTTCCACGATTAAAGTAAGTATTGTTGAGCTCAGACAATACCGTGACTGTCATGCAGTGAGCGCTGTTATTCCTCACTCCTCACTTCGTTGTTGGGCTGCTCTCAAGATAATTCTGGCTACTTAAGACAGGAATGCTTTGTCTTTTTCCTAAGGGGACACTCTCTTAACTGGATTGACTCCTACAGAAGCTCCCACATAGGTTAAATCTTCGGCACTCGCGGCACCTAGATCCTGGTAGTGGCGGCCGTACTTATTTGGACACAAAATCCTAGAGGCCCATGTACTTCGATTTAGGTTCACATTAAAGAACTTCATATGGTCAAAATTTTTGGAGCCCTTCACTGCAGCGTCCCTCTTAATCACATTGTGGTTTTGGAATGTAAAATTCCCGACAATAACTATTGTATTTCCTTTCTGGTGCTCTTTGGCCTCAGATGCCCTTGTGCCAATAAAAACTAATTTATGAATAACTATGTATCCTGTCAAGCCTGTAGCTGTGTTTACAAGACTTTCTTTTGTCTTAGGTTTTTTGCATCTTGTTGCTCTGGCCATAGTGGCTTAGTTAGGACTGGTGGTTTACGTAAGAACTTCTTTGTACTGGATACTTTTATTGCAGTGAGGCTTTACGAGTGCATCGAGAAGATGCAGAACGTGGTGGGTGACTCGATACCTGAGGCCACGCTTCGTCGGGTGGCCCTCGAGGGAGACTTCAACGCCGAGGTCGCTCTCGACCGTCTCCTACGAGGTCAGCTGACCATGACATATTAATTTCTTGGTTTACTCACCAATGCTGGTAAATAGCGACAGTAGCGTGAAACCCTTGATCAATATAAATGAGAGGTCTCAACCACGCAGCACTTGGGTCACTTTCTCTAACACCCTGGCTGCACATTACTGTGTTTATCCTATATATATCTTTATCTTCATAATGAGTATGCCCATGAGCTGCACAGACATTTCTGGTCTCAAGCGTATTTTTCGTGAGCCACTCCTTCCGATTAGCTTGTGCTGAAACATTAGCATGGAACAAAAACACCATATACTTCAGAATCGGCGTCCAGATTTCAGTAATTCTAGAGATTACTGTCGATATGTTTCTCAAAGCCTGACATCAAGTATCCTCTCATACTGGCGTAAAAGTAGTGCAAAAAGAACACAAGAAAATGAAACCACTTGTCTTCGTATTTTTGCGCTATTTTTACGACAGTATGAATCGGTACCAGCTAGCTTACCTTTCCATTTTGCTTCAAGTATCCTCGAGAAGTTACCCATACGTGAGATTTCGGAAAGGCCATTTTTCAGATGGCTACATTAGCTAGCGTTTTGTGTTCACTGCACTGCTTCCCCCCTTTTCGCTCTAATCATCTACACCATCCCGCCCCATCGGGAGACTAAGGTTTCTTGATGGTGGCCGATTAGCTGAAGTGAGACTGAGACTCGTGGGCTAAACTGTTTCAGAGTAATCTTTAAAAAATGTTTTTGTTACTATTAACCATACATTCTTTTGTGGGAGAGACTGCTTTGTGATTGCTTATTTTCTTGCTTGCGTGGTACACCCTTGTTTTGCTCAAGGTGAAACTGAAGTGCACATTTGTTAGTATCGATTCTGAACAAGTAGAGGGAAAAAAAAGCCTTGTGTTTTTTTTTTCTAAACAGAAATGGACAAGCCGAAGCCGCAGCGCGAGCCACGGAAGAGAGGTATGTTGAAACATGTGCAGCACCTTCGTGGACTTGCATTTACGTCATGCTGACGTTATCTGCTGTCTTAGTTTTGTTTAAGCAGTGTGCTGCTGTGTGTTTGAAGCTGGGGGGGGGGGGGGGGTGAATTGTAGAAAGGTGCTAAGTGACGATTCTATGATTGCGTGATGCTCATGCATGATTAATTGGGTGATCCTGCTCTTGGCCGCCATATATAAAACCTAATCACTGCAGGCTTCCATGAGTGCACTTTGATGCGTTTGACCTTGCTCAGAGCAATGCCTCCTGCGACTCGATCCTTGGAACGTGAGCCGCTAGCATGCCCTTGTCTTTTCTCTTCTTTTTAGTACAGTGGCTAGCCTCTCCCGCTGCACTCCCTTCTGAAAAAAAAAAAAAAAAAGTATGGTAGCTTCACCGCTGTGAAACCTGACAAAGTGCGTAATGCTGGCACTAAGCGTTTCCTATTTGTAATGTTCCCATTCCTCCCTTTACAGCGCTATGCACTGCTCAGACCCGTCGTCTTGAAAAACAATTCTTGCGCTACTTTCCTACGCCTATGGTGCCGTGGCCCTGCGGTGATGCAGTTCTGGCTCCGCAGTCCCCATTTTCGTTTTCCTGTGCTGGCCTTTGCCATTTTGTGAAGTCCAAGACTACCAGGACAAGCGGTATTGCCATTACAAGAGCCTGAGAGATCAAGATGTGTCTTGCCACTGTACTGGTAGAGAAAAGGTAGACACTTCATCAGTGTCTCGTACTCCTCGCATCGTGCTATCTTCCTGCCCCGCTACGACAAGTGTGCATGTGGGGCAAGCCTTACTTGTTCGTTCGCTGCACACTGACGACGTAATCGCTGAAGTTGTGTTAAGTTGACGAAGTGGGCGAAGTCCCGACAAAAGGCTACACCTACCCCTCTCCACTGCGAGAAAGTGGGGGATGGGAAGGGTTAGCTAGAAGCCAAAACAAGCCAAAGCGGGTCATTCTAAATCCTGTAGCTTCTTTATTACAGCACTTAGTATTCACAAAGTTTTTGCGGCAGCATGTCCACATTGTACAAGTGCACTGTTATTTCTCCATTAAAAATTTCAGACTGCGAGGTTGTTTACTGGCCCATTGACATGTGCAACTCTTGTAGCTGCCTCCGAGCTGCTGCTAACATTGGGTTGCATGACTGGGCGGTGTGGTATTGAGCACTCTACTGCGGCACCTCAACGAAACGCACGGCATGAGGTGTGGTCTTCACGATTGGTTCTAAAAAGGGAGGAGCAAAGTTCCAGGCAAACAGTTAAGAGGAGGTCTTGCTCAGGGATTTCCATAAGCACACTCCTGATCACTTGTGCTTTAATGATATCAGAAGATAGTCCTGTATATGTTACCTTAGCAAATCCATGATATGAGAGGTTGTCAGAATTGTAAGAAAAGTTGCTTTTGAGACATTTAGTGTGTACAGGCTGGGCTCATTCATAAAGAACTGTCATCTTTAATTTTTTTTTGAGGACTGTGCACAAGCTGTCCTTCACGGTGTCCAGAAGGCATTCGGGAAGTTCCGCCTAATAACCATTTCTGGTCCTGGGCACTAAAATGAAGATGAAAGCAAGTTTTTTGCTTATCGCACCTGAAAACTATGGAAATAATCACCCTATTGTTCTCTGAAATGAATAGAAAAATTTGTTTGAAAACTGATAAGAACTCGAAAATATTAGCACAGATCTTGTGGTTCTTCAGGCTTCCTAATTCATGACCACTGTCGAGTATGGTCACGAAACGTCTGGTGACTACTGTTCCACCTAATGCAGGTCACGTCCCCTTCAGATTGCAGAAAGCTCCAAATTATATTGCCAGGTGCCTTAACCTCAACTCAATATTCAATATGTCTGCAGGGTTCGTACAGACCCTTGGAATCCTTGAATGTCCTTGAATTTGATAACATTAATTCAAGAGCCTTTGAAGCTCCTTAGATATAATTGAGCTCCTTTAATCCTTGAAAGTTTAGTAAAGTTTGCTTCAATATAGCGAATGAATGACGTATTTCCAGTCTGGGAGAACAGCAGTAAGAAGCTGCAATAAAAAGTCAACCAGCTATGTAGTTCATGTCGATGACATTCACACTTTAGAGAGCACTTTTCTTGTTTGCTGTCCTTGATCTTGGAAATTTTCTGCAAGATATTGGGATTGCTCTGAGAATAATTCAGCTAGAAAAAGGGTTGGAAGAAAAGCATTAAAGTCACGGCACAACTTTATGTTGCCTGTTTTGAGGCCACATAGGAAGGGAACTTTCGAGGGCTTGTTTCCTTGTTCAACGCAGCTTTAATGAAAACAAATAGATAATGAAGCCAAGAGAGGTATAGAGAAGGTTAATTGAGCTGTAATAAGTGTATTGCAATTATTGTGACACAATAGAAGTGGACGAAAAGACAACCCATCGCTGGCAGGGACTGCCCTTCGGATCCGCAGGCCGCGGGTTCGGCACTTGCACGTGCACCTTGTTTCGTTGGAGGCCAAGTTGCTGGCACCTACATATTTATGGTAACACTGATAACGTGTGAAGTATACCTTCTGATGGGGCTCGCAATCATTCTTTAGTCCTCTCGATTTTCATGAACATTTCCCCTTCCTCCCCACCACGCTTAGTGTTGTCTCGTCGTAGTGCACTTCCCCTTGTTGAACTTGGTAGAGCCTGCACAGTTTAAAATGCACAGTGCATGGGGGCGAGAGTTGCAGACATGCATGCGTCACGTTTAATGGCCGACTGCAACAGAATTTCGCTTTGACTAAATTTCCTATGAGTGAGTAGTATGGGCCACTCAAGCAAACCCGACAGTGATGGAAGTGCTGCTCCAATTGCTCCGAAAGAGAAGCGCTGCTCTAAACGACAATTTTTGTTAGTAATTGCTCCAAACTTGCTCCAAATAGACACTGAAAGAATGAGAATGACGAATTTTTACTGTTGCACCAACTCATAAGTCCTAAAGAAACTGAAAAAAATCTGTGGACTATCATCTCAGTGTGCTACTAGTGTGCAGCATTATCGGCTTTGATCTCATTTGTGCAACGAGAGTAGGCATATTAAGCATATAGCTCATTTGGCTGTTTCTTTTTTCTCATCTAGATATTTAGGTTAGTGTGGTGGAATGTGAAAATGAGCAGGATTCCTTATATCTCATACTGATTATCTACTGCTCATTTGGCAACAGTTATATCAGATTGTGGTTACTTCTCTAATGTGGCGTTCAGCTTTCCCAGTCTGATATGATTTCTACCACAAATACTAGTGTTTTAAATTGTAGCTCATTTACAGCAGATTTTTGACTACCTGCCATTGTTTACTTCACAAAATTTACATTGAGTGTTGTCTGTTAAATATATTTCATAATAAGTAACAAAATTTCCCTGATGCTTCGACAGTGCTCTAAACTCCAGTTATTGTGTGGCAAATTTAATATCTGCTCCTAAAGAAACACCAATAGCTGCTCTAAACAAGCATTTTTTTCTGCTCTAAAAACACCTATGGCTGTTCCAAAGCAGTACTTTTCCTGCTCCAAAAAGTAGAAAGTCACTTCCATCACCGATGCAGCTTGGTCACATGGCTAGTAACTGTATTTTTCTTGTTGTGAGTCTCTAAACAAGACCTAAGCATGAGATTTGTGTTGTTACAAAGCGAGTTGCTTTTCAGATCAGGGGGTTGACAGGTTGAAAACATGAGATAGCCAAAATATTTGAAAAAAAAAAAACAACCCCAAAGCAGCCAACTTGAGCCAAGGAGACCAGAAGTAGCCATAAGTAGCCATACGCTTTTGGAAACTACTTGGAAAGAAACTCGGTGGAAATGTGAATAAGTAGAGTACAAAGCATTCAAAATTAGGGTTATTCAGATAAAAACGAAAGTTGTTGATTTTACCAATAATTTCGAGTATGATAATGAATTTTTTTGCGCTGTTGCAAGTTGCATTCTCTTCACGTGACACGTCTTGCATGACTTCGCCTTAAAAGACTAAATAACGACAACAAAAATAAAGCATATGGCATGAGTGTGCTCAAAATTGCAGCTGCTAAGATTGAATCATAAGCTGTTGTCACTTTTGCAATAATTCCTTGGGTGATGACAAAGTCTGGGTGGTTAATGCCTCGGAGTTGAAGGCCGTACCTAGTACAACAAAGTCAGAGCATTTAATGTTCCAGAGTTGCAGTCCGTACCCAATATAACAAAGTCGGAGCAGTTAATGTTTCAGAGCTGCAGTCTGTACCTAGTGTAATATAAGTCTGAGCAGTTTTCCTCGCGCAACAGTTTTCAAATCCCAGCCATGTATTGAAAAGCATTTTCTTTTGCTCCTGTGAATAAGGCCTGCTTGACTGACAGGAAATAAGCATGTAGTATATTTTTTATCGCCTCACACTATTGACCGTTACCCCTGTTTAGGTGGCTGAGCCATTCACTTAATTAAGGTACATTCTCTATGCAGTGCTAGTGCTCAATTTTATTTTTGGAGCTGAAAGTACACTTTGACCACCATGTTTTGACAGCACATACCGGGACCCCAGTGGCTGTGATGTCATCGTATGTTGAGGAAAGAAGATAACAGCCAAAAAGTAGCCATGTAGCCGAGGAATTTTTTAGCGTCACCGCCATTTTCAAAATGTAGGTAAACTGGCACGAAGTAGCGAAACCTGGCAACCCTGTTTTAGATTTCTCGGCGCACTGTGTGTAACTGCGGATGTAGTCATATCTCGGATTTTGTGCCAAAAAGCCGTGAATTCCACGTATTGCATTACTCCGAGCAAATGGTGCTTTCAATTCTGAAATTAAAAAAAAAAAGATTTTTGGCAAGCTTCGCACTATGATTTTGTTCGTAATTCAAGCGTAATTTCATGTAAGTCTCCTTCATAATTGTGCATATCTCAATTTAGGCTTTTTGCACAGTAAAAAATTTTGTTGCAGTTGGTCTTTTAAGTACCGTAGTCTAAAAAATGATGGCTGGAGGGTGGAGCTTGCAAAAAGAAGTAAATACAGCATGCTTACCCCTTAAGTTCACAAATGGGTCTTGATTCAAGTCTACTCTCAAGTGACTGCTAGGCAGACTGGTCTCTCGATTGAAGTTTGTATGCTGTGGGAGCCAGTAACTCTCCTTAGCAGTCTATTTCACGAATTGTTTGAGGATTAAGCCTCCTCTTTAATGCCTTCGAGTGGACTGAGGGAACGCTTGCCGCAGGGCTTGTCAGTCATGTTTCACTCGTGTCAGTCAAAGATGCACTTTCTGTCGAGACCGATTTGTCAGCTTGGGGATTAATGATTGAGTTGGGACTTGAACCAAATATTTTTAGTTACCTTAATTCAAATGTTAAAGTTGGGAAGATCCTTTTCACTTTTGCAGTTTACTTTTTAATATGTCGTCAAGTTTTACCTATTTAACATTTGGTTATAAGTTAATCCTTTTTTTTAAAGGTTTTCTTTAATGTGTTAAAAATGAGCTACCCTATTAAGCTGCCAAGAATCCTTTTACAGGATGCATGGTTTCATAAAAGCAGCAAGACTGAAACGAGCAAGATTCAGTACTGAGTACATAGCGTACAGAACAGTGTTGCATACTTGTGAATGCCTTCACCTTGAGTCGCATCTTAATGTAGTGCAAAAAAGAACGCCATATGATGTGGGAGACGACAGGAAAAGCACTTGCCCTGTTGTCTCTCGTGTTTGGTGCTAAAAGGACTGTTTTCAAAATTACTCGCTTGTAAAATTGGCAGCTGTCTCAGAGCCTTCTATATCATTGACGTGTAGGATCTGCAACTTCTCAGCAGCATTACATGAAGAGCAGGTGTTTATGGGAAATGTTTGGTTCAAATTTCAACTATGCGCTTAATGTGTCGTGAACCTGATGACAGTTCCAAGTTCAATGGCTGTTGCTTTTGTGTTTCGCAGCATTCGGAAACTAACTCTAGGCTCCCGTTCTCTCTTCCTTCTTTTCTGCTCTCTTGCTTCACCCCCTCTCTCCCACCATCCTTCATCCTTTCTCTCCACCTTTGTCCTGTTTGCTTTTTTTTTGCATAAAAACGCAACTGGCATGCCGCCCTCTCGTCACTGCAACCCATCATCACCGTGCTCTTGCTCATCACTTTCTCATCATTTCGACGTGCCGCTCGCAAGGTAAGAATCGGACAGCGAAGACGATGATTCATGTGTCGTTTCGCCGTCCGACACGGTGTTCGATGGTGGTGGTGGGACGTCCATAGCGGTCCCACATTTGACGACTGTCGTTGCACAGTTCGATGTGCCTGCTAGAAGTCGGGGCGATAATGCGCGGAGATCAAGCAGCAGCGAGCGCGCAGGGAGAGCTGCCGTGACAGCGAATGCGGGGACAGACTCGGCAACACTTTTAAATCTTGCGCTTTTTTCCTCTCCCCCCACTGCATGTACAGTTGAAACCTTAGGTTGTGACTTAGAACTTGACGATTTGCTCAAATCAGATTGCTCGGCTGAATCGCGTAAGGCAGACAGCCTGCCGAAAGCCATGCACAGTATTAGCGGTTGTGACGGTGCACCGCAACCCTTGCTTGTTCATGACCAGTGTGAGACAGTACCTGAAACATCGCTCGCCCACGCTTCAAGCACTACTTGTGATCTCAGTACTAACCTTCAAGTTAGTCGTATGGACTCTAGGGACGGCTTTCTTGAGGCACTTCTCCAAGAAGGAAATGTTCCAAGCGACATCTCACCATCGGGCCCTACAGGAAAACCATCGAGTGCAGTGCCCGATGAGCTGGACTTACTGTTGGGCATGGTGTCGAGCCACAAGCCACATCCTGTCGGCCCGATCGACACTTCAAGACACAACAACCAAGCTACTTCAGCGAGTGCGAGTCGCAATGTGCAATCTGTAGGCAAACCTGTAAAAGATGACGTTGGAGACAGCTTAGATGAACTTTTGGGAATCGGTGCGGACTCCTCAGCTCCGCGACAAGGCGGCAAAGGCGCTATTGAAACGGACTTCGACGACTTTCTCATGTCGTTGAGGACTGACTTTGGTGGTGCAAGTGACTTGACTAGGCGGGAGGATGGTCTGGGGATGCTGCCCATCGCAGATGTTTTGTCGGCAGCTTCCAGCGATGAGAAGGGACCTATGAAATCGCCTCAGAAGCCAAGCTCGAAGAAACAGCAGCCCGCTTTGCTCAATCTCGGTGAAATACTCGGCCTGAACAGAGAGCCCACTCCCAATACGGCTGCTGAGGGTGGAGCTCTCAAACTCGACGATATTCTGAAAGGAACCACGGCGGTGGGTGTTGCTGCGGTCACCAGACAAGAGAGCCACTCATACGGTTATGGCAGTGAAAGCCCCGAGTTTAGTCCCCTTCACAGCACCGCAGCTGTGAAAGAAGCGTCCCTCTTTGGCAAAGTACTCGTGTACTTCTGTTTTGTCCGGCGGCAGATGCCTACCTTTGAGTTAATGAGTTGGCTGAGAAAGCTTGGTGTGCTGGAGCTGAGGCCTGGAGATAAAACGAGGATGGCAGCATTCAATTTTGGCGTGCCGTCGCCCGATGACATCGTGCGTGCGTGTCGGAAACGTGCGGTTGCAGCGTCAGGTACATGCGCCTATGTTGCCCATTATTGCTTATTGTTTTTTATATCTAATAAATAATGTGAGTGTAAGGGACATTAACATCACGATATATGCAAGTATTAGTGATTGAGCTATTTTGTACTAGTTTAGAATGGAAAGCAGGTATGATTGTAAGGTTAAAAAAAAAAGAAATTATAAAAGCGTTAGTGCATTCTACTTCTCCGTGAAGTGGCTCTGTGCATTGAGTGACAAGTGAACTGATAACACTGAGCATACGAGACACGCTTCTGAAATTTTCATGAACTGTCATGATGCGTCACTTTGAAGAGCCTAAACATGATTCTTATATATTGTCATGTGCAAATTACTGCCGTGATTTCTTTTTGTTCTTTAGGGTAGTTGTATAAGTTGCAAGTAATGTGTGCATGTGAGTTGTATGGACAAAACAATAGTGTTTGTATATCTTAGAGTTGTAAAACTTTGTGGATTGTCAGTGCATTACACTACTTTCTTGCAGTGGGCCTTTTTCACTCTGTAATTGTGGTCGGGTGCATTCAGACACGAGCATTGGGCTATTGGCTGTGCTTTTGAAAGAACCGGAAATGTGATACTGTGCGTTTTGATGTCGAGCAATGTTAAAAATGTTAACGAGTACTGTGTTAGAAAAAGGTAATGTTAGAAAGCACAAAAAAAGATCAGAGCTTGGTCTAACCGGGAGGGCACTTTTACTCAATCACTTGCACTCACATTTCTAGGGTACTTCAGGCAGAGATTCTTTATCTAGATTGAGGGCAAGGTTATATCTACGCCGTTAGGAAATTCGAATGGGGGCCCCAAAAAGTTTCGGGCCCCATAAAATAGCGTCAAGGCCGGGGCGCATGCGCAAAACCCAAACGGCGTTTAGGTTTTGCGTTGCGGATGCTATTTTTTTAATTTAGAGGAAGCCAGAAAACTTTGCCCCAAAAGCTTTGCCCCAAAAGCGTGCCCCAAAAGTGACGGCACTCGGCCAAGACTAGAGTGAGCAAAAATTCGGTGAGTGTCCTAAGTGCCGTACACCCTATTCAAAAACTCTTTGCACCTGCTTGACCCAAAGCGTGCATACGTAAGAGGCATTGGGACACCAAACTCCCTATTATGTGTATCTTCGTAGTGATGTGTTATTGCCTAACGATGAACGCAAACCTAAAGAAACTGGGGTTGTGTGATAGAATTCCCGCAAATAGGAACAAAGCAGATCTGTGGGTTGTCAATCTATGTTCTAAATACTTCATGTAGTAGGACATGTGTTAAAATTTCTGGCCTAAAGTGGATGGGCTGCTTGAGTGTATGTTTGCGGGATGTGAAACATGGCCTAGTATGGTAGTGTGCACTGTAGTGGCTAAGTTCTTGTAGTTTTCTATGCTCAAACTTGTAAAATTCTCTGGTCCTACGCGCTCAGTTCAGTGTGAGGTACTCACCACTACATTTTTGCCACGGTCAAGGTTGATCTAACTGCAGAAATGCTACAAGAACGTATCAGTAGCACTTTTACAGAATACTTGGACGTCTGTAGAAGAATAAATACTTGACAATCACACTACCTGCAAGTGTCTTGCTGTGAACAGACATCGGGTGTGTCTAGCCCACTCTGAACTCCAAAGAAGCACACTCGAGTGCGATGCATTCGGGGCTTAGCTCAACGGTGTTTTTTTTTACATCAAGCACTTTTGGGAGCATGAACGTGCCACATGGTGAATATTATATTGCTTCCGCATTCACTACTGCAGTTGACATGCATATTGAAGTGGCCTTGCTGGTAAACAAACTTCTTCAGTTCTTGGTAAATGATGGCGGGCTCACATGACATGACATATGGTGTCAAAGGCAGCAACATTGAGTGCCAGAGACTTACACATGTAATATGCAAGTTGTTGTTGTTGCTCTCAGAGGTACCACATCACAGAATAACATGAGAATGTGTAGATGCACATAGATATAGCAACGTTAAGTCAGTGCAGTACATCGATTCAGGCATAGGTTACATACTTGCGCGTACAACAAGTAATAATTGGGCTGTCATTATCGTTTTGTGCAACCTGAAACCGTGCCAACGTGCAATGTTTGCTATCGTGCCCGGGAACACGGCCAGCTTCGTGGCTGCAGGAATGAGTGAGAAAGGAGGGTGCACGTTAAAGAACCCCAGGTGGTCAAAATTTCCGGAGCACTCCACTACGGCGTCTCTCATAATCAAATGGTGGTTTTGGGACGTTAAACCCCACATATCAATCAATGAGTGAGAAAGGAGAAAAAAAAAAAAAACACTGAGGACACAATGCAATTGGAGCCTGGGTCTCCTATGTGCGAGCTTAGTGTTCTACCTCAGAGCCATGCCGGTGCTTTAAACTTCTTGGCAAACTGGCCTTAGGCAGGCTTGATTTCGGGCAAAGAATCACGTTAATAGAAGTAATAAAGTATTTTAGAACAGCAAAGGAACAATTAGCCATCACACAATGCCAATTGCATAAAGAGTGGGCCATTGAATGCGCGAACTCATTACAAGAGCTTCAGGCATAATTCTTCATCCTCGACAGCCACAGCACCAAAACTGCACAAAATTCCTTCGAAGTGAGTAGCAGGTACCGTGCTTCTCCAGAAATTGATGAATTCCTTGGTGAATGCCTTCCTACTAGACAAAAACTATGATGAATAATGGCATAATGGGTACCCTGCAAGTGTGCATGTAGCAGTTGCCCAAAGATTGTTTGGAAAAGACTTCGAAAGGCCGCTCTTCCAGCTTTTCGCGCAGGCTGGAAGCTGTAGCAGGCGCGAGCATTCACGCCCCATCTCATGTTTAGAGCACGCTGCATGCACTCTGTAATCACGCATCATAAGTCGCTTTTTTAGCGTTATGTTGAGAAAAGCTGATTCCGCCAACTCGAGTGCGCTCGAGCTCCACACGCCCATTGATAGAGCTCTGAACGCACGTTCTGCACTTGCCCTTTTGTTTACTGTTAAACTCGAGTGTGATATGGTACGGAAGAGCTTCGCTTGTCCTGTCGTCCTGCCCCTTGCTATTCTTTTGCTCGTCTCTCACAGAGCGAAAACCAACGCCTCTCGGACAAGTTGGCGCGCCCGCCAGAGCTGCCGGTGCCAACAAGGAGCTGCTTCCCGCGGTCGACTCGGCGCTGAGGCAGTCGTTTCCCAAGCAACCTCAGCCTGATGTCGAAGATAAGCGCTGCAAGTGAGTGCACAATTGCTGTCTGAATAAGTGCGCGCATTTACTGTAATGTCCCTAGCAAGCGGCCCTACACAAGCGAATGCCCGCCCTCCCTTCTTCGGGAGATTTCAAAGCCTCTTTTCCCCTCCTGACATTTTCACTGTTCAGTTCACTGTTTTTGTATTCCCAATGAAAACGAATGAAAATAGTGAATGCATACATGTTCAGTAAAGCATTTTATTAGATGCACGGGCGTGCTCTTTTAATTTTGAACGGCTCTTCCACCACCATCTTCAATTTGGGTTCATGACCAAGCAGGGACCCCCCCCCCCCCCCAGAAATTTTGTCGGGTCATCTTTCTTTCACCATAGGGGGTGCACTTGCTCGGGATTTTACAGTATGCTTTGATAAAGTTCTTGCACGCTAGAATTTAGGCTTTTTCGCATTCCAGAACAATAACTAATCATTTCTCTTGCATCCGCTTTCATTCGCTAGTTTCGCATGATGACCACCATTTTTCTGTTGAGAATGCTGCATCACACTGTGTGTGCACGTCATTCATGATCCGAAGGTGCTGAATTGCAGCACTACAGAAAAGCAATGGCACCCACGATAGATGACAGGTGACTTTTTGTTATTGTTTGTAGGAGCGTAGCCAGGAGTTGGCATATCGAGCTGCCCCCTGGCCGATGTTTATGGTGTATCCAGGCGACAGGAGTGAAATGAAAAAACTTCATTTCAGTTCTGAAGGACGCGATTAGCGCATAGCGAGCGTCTTACACGTAGGGGTCGACAGGGAGTACCTGGCGGCCGCTTCGTGGGCCTGCTGGACGACCCATTGCTGGTCGGCGATAAGTGAGCTCCCGAGGGACCTCTCCCGCTTGTTTGAGGTAGAGTCATGAGGAGTGTTTCTACACTTCCAGAGCAAGTGTGCGAGTGTCGCCGTGTGTCCACACGAGGGGCATGTGTCGCTGGGGCATGCATTGGGATAATAAACGTGAAGCTTGGCAAGGTTTGGGTACGTGTGGGTCTGTAATAGGCGTAGGGTTAGCGCCTGTGGTCTGCTAAGTTTCGGATGCGGAGGTGGAAAAATGCGGCATTCAAGGTAAAAGTGCTTTGTTATGTCATTGTACGTAATGGGTGCATCCTTATTGGTCTCTAATTCAGCAATGCCCTGTGGCGGCGCGGTCAATAAGTGCGCATGCTGCATCACGGGCCATCTCGTTGAGGTTGGATGGGGCACCTGGCACCTGGCCGAGATGGGCAGAGAACCTGATAACAGTGTGGTGCTTCAAGGCACTCGGGTCCGCGCTGCGCAGGATACGTAATGCCTGGTTGGAGATGACTCCGCGTTCGAAGGCTTTGATGGCTGGTCTGGAGTCGCTATAGGCGAGTTCCCGTTTGCTCATGAGCATACCTATAGCTATAGCTACTTGCTCCGCTACTTCGGGGTTTCGGGTGAGGATTGTGGCAGAGTTAAGAATCTGCTGCGCAGATGATACTGCGACCATGGTGAAGGCTTGGTTGTTGTGATAGGCAGCGGTGTCCATGAACGAGACGTTGTCCGCTTCCATGTCTATGCGCTTGAGAATGGCGGTCGCCCGTGCAAGGCGCCTGCCTCTGTTGTATTCGGGGTGTACAATTCGCGGAATGGAGGCGACCGTGATAAGGTCGCGGATTTCACAGAGAATTGGAATCAACTCTGGGGGAGCCCTGGCCATCGAGGAGAAGTCGAGCTCGCGCAGAATATGGTGGCTTGCCTTGGTGGTCGTGAGTCAGGTCAATTGCACGCGTTCTTGAGCTTCGGCGATCTCTTCTAGCGTGTTATGTATGCCAAGCTCGAGGAATTGTGCGTTGGAGTGGTGATATAGAGGCCAAGGGCTCGTTTGACCACCTGGCAAATAAGCACATTGAGTTGATCGCGCTCAGCACATAGCCATTTGTGTATAGCCGCGACGTTGGTAAAGTGGCACAAAACAAACTCGTGTACAAGACACAGCAGGTTGTCTTCTTTGAGGCCATGGTGCCGGTTGGATACTCTACGTACGAGTCGTATGGCGTTCTCCTGAGCTTGTGGACTGTTTGGGTGTTGGTTCCGCGGGACTTGATGATCATGCCGAGGACCTTGATGGTGTCAACCCTGGGGACTGCACGACCATCTCTGGTGTGGAGCAAGATATTGCGTTCCGCCGGAGGTTCCCACCGTTGGGCTTGGCACCCCACCGTTTGGGCAAATATATCAACATCTCCGACTTCGCGGGCTGAGCACCTGAGACCAGGTGTGGTGGACGTGTGGACAGGTTAAACCGCTCTTTTGGCCCACGGTCTCACCATCACGTGACCTTCCACTTCTGGTTGGGGGAGTTCGTAGCTGGGCCGCGAGCCACGAAGGCTAAGAATGCCGAAAACATTTTCACGAACCGCCCGTCTTCATTCTTGGCTGTGCAAATTGTATTCCGAGAACTTTGTCGTTAATTACACCTTATAGGAGAGCTAAAATCAAGGTCAAGTATCATTTTTTAAATTTTGTGCAGAAATATCCGTACGTGATGTCACGTATATTAAGGTGTATTTCTCGCGCTTAGGTGAAACTGGCGCAAGAAAATTTCTTATAACTTAGTATTTTATATCTATGGCTCCCTCCATAATGAGTGGATGTCATTTTTACAAATAGGGAACTGTATAGGCCCTAGTAAACGCTGTTGAAGTCTATGGTGTCACCGCGTTTGGTGCCGAAATCTCCCAGTGGCAATGCCACTCGCACATTCTTTTTGCGCGTTTTCTCGCTCAACAAGTGTCTTCTTTGCTACATGTGTGGTGATTTTGTAATTGTGAAAGAGTAATGTACTAATATGAGACAAGTTGTTCCTCTTTTTAGTATTCCTTTTGTATTACTGAGCAAATGAAGTTAGCTGGTATTTGATTAGGAATAAATTATATTACACTCTTGAATTGTAGTGGTTGGTACGTTCTGATATTGAACGAAGAAACAGCTTTGAAACAAGACAACGACGAGACGTTTGTGTCCTCTCATCTTTGTCATGTTCTAGCACATTTTTTTTTGTTCAACATCAGAGTGAGTTATGCTGGGCATGCCATGTACAACATACAGAGCTGCTAACTAGTGGTTTTACTCAAGGCGCCTGCCTCTGTTGTATTCGGGGTGTTGCTCAGTTGCTGATGACAGAAATTGTGAAATGAGAGAGTAGCAAGTTTAAGGTGAGACCCGCAGAGATGACATTGAACTGGTAATTCGATAGGCCTTTTGTCATGCTCCAACAAAACGGGCCAATAGAGACAGTGAAATTGCATAGGAGTAATCTGTGCTGCCACTTATGTGCATAATTTTTGGGGTGGCAAGCAAGGAACCCGCTTTTTCTTTTTCTTTCTTTTCTTTTTTTTGCTGTGGTTGTTTTCTACAGAGCATCGTCGGAGACTCTCAAGGTACCAAGTGCGACAAATTCCAACCGCAGTTCTCCAGATCTGGATCGCAAGGAGCCCTCTCCAGAAGCTGGTGGGGACTCGCAGCCAGCTGACAGCGCCACCCCCAAAACACCAAGGTGTGCAGTTTGCTACGTGGCTGGAATGATATTAGGATGAAGAATGGGGTCCTTCCGTTTCCCATCTGTGCTTTAGAGAAATAGGCTGATGTGCTTCACTCTTTTCTGTGTGGTTGTAGCCTACTATGAGTGGAGGACGATCGGTTTTTCTCAGAAGGGCACAATTCTTATCAGCAATTGAGACAGACTTTCGTCTTACTCCAGCATGTTTTACTTTGTCAGTGAGTATGACCGTAATGTGTGCTCTCCGGAAGGAGAGCACTTATCTAATTAATCTCCCTAGTCCCTGCGAACAGTTAGCAAAGGGCAATACATAGGGCAGTACCAAAAGTACCGCATTTTCACATGTATAACAGGCACAAAAAACTGATGATTTCAGTGGCCAAGTGGGGGTGGGTTTTTTTCTTTAGTGCTGCTTCACAGCATGCGTGTTGTGCCGTGAAGCCTCTTAACAATGTAGCGAAGGCTACGGAGGGGGTTTCTGCAAATTGGTGTTGCTGCACAAATGGTACGGCAGCTTGTGGCAGATTTTGGTGTTGCTTTCCTGCACCGTTGAAGTCTTCAGAGAAACATTTGGGGAGAGACAGTTCTATTGCTCATTGTAAACCTCACTGTCACATTACAAGTGCGCTTTTGGACGTTTGCAACCGCACAGTGACCCTCCACATGCTTCTCCGTTACGGACGCCATGTTTACCTTGGAAAATGGCTTGCCGAAAATTCAGTGTTGTCTAAGAAATAGACAAAAAAAGGAAAGCATTTTGAAAAGTGAATAATACCTGTATCCTACCTACGACTTCCTGCAACCGTGTAAGTTTCATAATAAATAAAGCAGTATTTATTTCAGCAAGGCAAATGAGATATTATCAGTAAATTTAGGTACTACTTTTAGCACGGTAGCAGGCATGCATTTCGATTCTGTAGCTTCCACGATGCTGTCAAGAAAAGTTGTCACGGAGTGTGAGCTCTTTTACCACGCTGATATCACTTGTTATACACATCTCGACCCGTTCACCAAGCCTAATTCGATCCGTTTTGTCACCATGAGTAGCATCTGGTGGCAGTCCTTCACCGCACAGAAAAAGCTTAAGATCGTTGTCGTTGGCGAGGAATTTGTGAACCGCGAAGTGGAAGGACGGCACGATGTGTACGAGTCTTGCGTGCGTCAGTGGAGAAAGAAGAGAGCCTACAACCTGCACACCGCGACTGTTGGTCCTTTTGTGGCCCCAAGACCGGTGCCTACCCTGAGCTGGGTGTGCAGCTAGTAAAGTTTAACGGAGATGTGAGAAGCAGGGGTCATGCCATATCGACGAAGATGGTATAAGTGGAAGCATGGCGACTGTCGAGGGAGCTAGACCTACCTCACGGATTCCGTGTGAGCCGCGAATAGCTGCACCGCTTTATGAAGCGACAAGGGCTCTCTACTGCTTGAGCAGTAGCTTTTGTACAGCCTTTTCTGTATATCAAATGTGTGGGCAATACACGAGCATCTTTTCTTCTGTCTTGGCAAGCTGAAAGTGGGGATGCAGATTATATGCAGGGGCGAGTTGTACGAGCAAAAATACGGTAGTTACCAAGGGCAGTTTTTTGTGGGCATATGCTTGATGTCACCTTAAAGTGGTGCATGATGCCACCAGTTATGGCCAGCCTGCTTCCTCTTCTTGAAAGAAGCACATTTAGAAACAAGTAAACTTTACACTCCAGTTGTGAGCTCCATGTGGCACTTTTGACTGCATAATTTGGCTGATATGGTCATAGCTTGGTCCCCTATCTCTAGAATATATCTGCTTTCTATGCTTAAGGAGTGGTTCAGGGCTCATTAATGACCTAAGTTCGGGCTCTTTCATGTTCAATGCAATGCCACTAATGTGGGGAGTGCATGCTCTTGAGGAACTGAATTGCAGGGTGCATTCATTGCTGAATGCCAAGTGTCATGACTTTTCGATGCATGTATAGTACTGTCCGTTGGTAGCTCCACTGGAAGGGAACTCGACAGGAGCACCCCTGGTTCCCTGTGGAATTTCGCATTGAAGCAATTAAATCCTGCTGAATATTTTACAACGACAAAGATGTGCCGTAAAATGCATCTTTCACTTAATAAACCCAATAGCTTCTCCAGAAACCTTCAGCTGTTCACTTACATAGACAAATGTGAAACGATTCTTGCCTAGTTTCTTTTGGTGGATTGTTTTGCTGTCGGCTCGTCTATGCTTGCGTTTCTTGTCATGATTGTGCTGCCCTGCAGGTCCAAGCCACCCAAGGACGTGGCTGCAGAATATGCCAAGGAGAGGGGCTCCACGAAGTCTCTTCTCAACTTGGTGGTCATTGGGCATGTTGACGCCGGCAAGAGCACACTCATGGGACACCTCTTGTACAGGTAAGCTGACATGGAAGTGTCACCGTTTGTGAGAGCTGCTGCACTCATTTGAATTCAAAACCGTTATGTGCCCCTTCAAGTGAAATATCAGGCATCCATTTCACGAGTGGGATTATCACCATATATAGTAAGAAAGCTCGTGTTACCAAATGACGACATCACTGAAGACATCATCACACGACATCAGGTTATAATGTTTCATGACGTAAACATAGGTGCCGTCGTAGCTCCCAAAGAAGCTGTGCTTTTTGCTACCAGTGCAATTAAGAAGACTTACTTGCCAGTGTAACTTCTGGCTGTACTGTGTAGAACCTAGAAAACTGGTCACAAGAAAGTATTGTAAGGTCATTCAAAGTACACCTGTGAGTGGCTTTATTTAACTAATTGTCCGTCAGCAAGTAAGTTGAAGTTTAATTGGGTAAACTGATACTTAAAAGGGGAGCTTGGGACAGGGCTTCTCCATGCATGTTATTGTATGAAATGGCAGCATTGGACATGATCTGAAATTTTGATTTCTTGGAGTTAGGGGGGGGCAAGCATTTATATTGGTGTCCATTTTGGCTTAATTCTGTCCTTGTTACCACATTCTTGTAATCGCCATTTTTGTGTCACCGGCTCCACAACATGGCAGTCATGTCACGGGCATTTTTGCTAATCTCATGCTATCATTGTTGAGCTACGGTTGCACACGTACTGTCACATTGCCTTTGTCATGATACACACTCTCTAGCATCCAAGGAATAACTAGTTCCTTGCCTTAAATGGGACCTTTGCATCCTCTGGTATTACCTTGCACAACTTCGAATGGTGCCACACAGCCTATGAAATGCTTTTAGTAACATCGATTTCAACCCAGAGTATTTGTGTAATTTTATAACTTCAAAACACAGCTCACACAGCATTGCATAGTGCAGGCTGCGTTGCACTTTGCACGTTCTGTTTGTGTGAAACAGCATTTTTCGTGGCGGTTCAAAGAGAGACGTGCGTTTGTTTTACCCGCAGGCTGGGCTGTGTGCAGAAGAAGCAAATGCACAAGTACGAGCAGGAGTCCAAGAAACTGGGGAAGGCTTCATTCATGTATGCCTGGGTGTTGGATGAGACGTCTGAAGAGAGGTGAGGAAAGCAATTTGAATGGGTATGTTTTGGAATTATATATGACGAAAATGTTTGAGGACAACTATCTTAAGAATCAATTCGAATACTAAATATATATTTTTCTCACTTGAAACAAAATGAAATGCAGTAGAAGCTCACTGATGTGTTCCTGCTTATTTTGTTTGGCCGGAACCTACACTTCCTGGTGCGCCAGTTGCATTATGGACTTGACCCAGGCAAGAGTCTGCACTCAGTTCCTTGAGGATGCACTTTTCAAAAAAGAAAAAAAAAAAAAGATACGCCATTCAATGTAGGTTGCACCGAAATCTCTTACTTCCTTTGTTGTCTGTTTTTGATAAATTTGTACCCTTTATGCATCTGATCATTGTCTCACCGTGCACCTAACTGCAGCAGCTGCCACCAGAGTCAAATAAAAATGTACATTCACCCTTATCTGATGTTTCTCACTTGCTCTGTTTCAGGAATCGCGGAATCACCATGGATGTGGCTCAGGCGAAGTTTGAGACGCCTAACCGTAGTATCGTCCTCTTAGATGCACCGGGTCATCGAGACTTCATCCCAAACATGATCACGGGCAAGTTGAGACTTTTGATTTGTAATTGCCGAAAGTGTTTCTGTGTGTTCCAAGTCTTCCTAATCAGTCTAGTCGCAACGATTCCTGCAGGAACCTAAGCTTTTTACGGCAGATATCCACCACAGAGAAAAACATGCTTAAAACTTGACTTGGAAGTCCTAGCATAAGTAATTCTAATTTTTCAACAAGTTAATTTTATGCCTCAAGTAAAGTGTGGCTCTTTCAATATTTGTCTAGTGTCTGTTTGTCACATCATACTGAGGTTGGTCATTTATACGCCATCTTTTGGACAGGATGATACACAAGGCATGTCACTTGCCTTTGTTGGCACAAGCATTTGCAATTTTGCAAAGGGTTCGGAGAGCAAACTACTGCATCCAATGCCTTGATTTTGTAGCAGTTTATGAAGAAAACTGTTGGTAGTTGCTAGAGAATGTTTTTCCTTGTTTCTTCAGTTGTTGAGTGGTTATCAAGCTGTACCCTTGATAAAGTCTCGGATTTTAACAACTTGGCTAGCTATTCTTTAGTTGAAGTTTTAATGCTTGTCTCGTATTAGTGTCCTTTTATGTCATCTAAGTTGCACGATTGCTTAAACGCGCGAAATTTCTCTTACTGCACGTTCAACATCATTTTGGAAATTTTCGTGTTGACTTTGCAGGCGCCGCCCAAGCGGACGTTGCCATCCTAGTAGTTGACGCCACCCGGGGCGAATTCGAAACTGGTTTCGAAACGGGAGGGCAGACGAGGGAACACACCTTGCTTGTGCGGTCACTAGGTAAGCGGGGGTTCGCAACATCATCTACGAAATGAACGCTTCATGTTTACAAACAACTCGTGGACTAAAGTGGACATCAAGTTGTGTATGATCTGTGCACTTCACTGTTTTTAGTATGCAACAGTATACGTTTCAGTGGCAAACTCATTGCTGTTGCTGCGCATTGCTGATATGTCTCACTTTACTTCTTTAGTGGTTAATTGGCTGAGACACGCAGTCTTTTCAATGATCATTACATAATTTTAGCGACCCAAACGTATTATGTTATCTCAAATTACACTGCACATACTTACCATATCTACTCACACAATTTGCGGTCTCACGCATTTTGCACACACCTAATATTTAGTCAGCTTTAATTGAAGAAAAAGAAAATTTACTCGGGTATTTTGCACTCCTCAACCCGCACGTACGCTTTGGACTTTTGGAGGCGAGTGCAGTCGTACCTACATCAAACGGGCTGCAAGTGTGAAGTCCCTTCTTTCGAGGACTTCTCCTGAACTGTGGTCCCTAGAATACCGTACTCGAACACCCAAACTTGTTGACGGGTCGTTGGAACTGCTCGAGCATCTGCCTCCCTTTCCGTGAGAATGCACGCTCGCGCCGTGGTCTGGACTATTTCCTGGATCGGAGGTGTGGGAGGGCTTGGCGCCAACTGATTGCCTCGTTCTCTCTGTCCACGATCTGTCCATCCTGTGACACATGTTTGGTTAATTTCGGAAGTTTATGTTTCACCATCCATCTGTCAGCATTTTTATTGTTCCCTCCTGATAGCCTGCGACAATTATATAGATAACTAAAATGCAAGCTTGCAGAAAACGGAGAACAGTGCCACTGCCAAGTACTTCAGCATGAAGTTATTCATCGTGGGATTTTTGGTATGGGGAAAAGCATACAAGTACGCGCTTGCTAATGCAAGTTTTATGCCGTTGAAGAAGACCTTTTCCATTATGTGCAAAAGCTTAGGTCCTCCGGTATCACCATTTTCCTGAGACCTGGTTTCTCACAGCATTGTCGAGAAGAGCTTAAAGAAAATGGGACGTTCGAATACGCTCGACAGAACCGAGGATGATGCTCTTTTGGAGGGCATTGACAGCAGCCGTGACGAATATTTTAATTGGATCTCTCAGCCAGTGATTCCGATTAGAACCTGCATGACCAGATCTGGCTTGTTAAAATACACGTCAATTCTGTCAATTAAACAAGTAATGTCGGCAGTGAAAGTTTGCGGGATCTGCAATGCATAGTAGAGCGACGAAATACTAGTCACTAGACTAAAAACTGCATTGCTGCTGATGAGTTCTGCGGAGAAATGAGTTCTGTGTTGTATGGCTTTTGCCTCGCACATGAAATAAATGGGCACCGTGTTAAGTGCTGTTCAGAATATAGTCGGGAGATGTTGCCGATCTGTAGTCAAAGCTCATGTGAACGTGTGAGCCAGGTAATATTGCACGTGCTGCTGCTAATTTACTGTTTCATGTGAAAACCTGACAATCTTTTGCCCGCTTCACAACTTTGCCCTGGCCACACAGCAAGCATGTTTGAGCCAATAGATATTCTTGTGGGTTACGTGCTGCATTGGGTACAAGCCATCACTATTGACAGTCTCTGGTTATCGCATAGCAAATCGGCATTGTTCATTTAATAGCTATTAGTTTTATTCGCATGTGTGTTGCTTCTTTTTAGCACTTGTCTTTTTTTCTTACCTCTTCACTTTTTGTCGTCACTCTTGCATGCGTTTATATTGCCTTCTCTTGTGTAATGCCTTCACCCTTTCAAGATCGTGGCAAATCAAATGACAGTAACTGACACCAGATTATTTCTGTGGTAATTTTCTTGCTCTGCAGGTGTCTCCCAGCTTGCAGTGGCCATCAACAAGCTGGACAATGTGTCGTGGGACGAGGGGCGCTACAACGAAATCACGGCCAAGCTGCGCAGTTTCTTGCGACAGGCCGGCTACCGGGAGTCTGACTTCACCTTCGTGCCTTGCAGTGGCCTGACGGGCGAAAATCTGACCACCAAACCGGAGTCCGGTTCTCCACTCACCAAGTGGTACATGGGGCCTTGCCTTGTTGACGTTATTGGTACGTCTGTTGGCATTTTGTTGCCTCGATGCAGGCCCGTAGCCAGCGGAGGGGGGAGTCGCTCTAGGCCCTTTCCTAATATGTCGATGGTGGGGGCAATTTACCAAGAATAAAGAATGTAAATAGGTGTTTTTCAATACCTTCATCAAATGCCTCCCCCCTCTCTACACCCCCCCCTCTGAAAAATTCTTGGCTACAGGCCTGCCTCACTGTCTGATCTTTATTTCATATTGGTGTCTGGTTTCTACAGCTCAGTGGTAGCGACTTGTGTCCAACTATACCATCAGTGGCTTTGACTCGTGACTGTGGTGCAAAGAAGTTTAAACTGTGCAAAGAAGTTCGTTAAAAACAAAGCACACACATACCTACATGCACTGTGTGGATATGTACGCACGATACGCATATACGCTCTGTGCTTCCTGTGTTTGCGTGTTCCAAGTTCAAACATGCCTACTGTATCTAAGAACCGCATAGCTTAACAAAATGTGGTACTTCGGTGTGATATGAGTTGAGCTACTTTCCCGGTAGGCATCGTCGTCTCGGGTCTCTTGATGGCCATTGGCCAAGCTTAATCTCGGGGAATCCCTGCTTTGGGAAGGATATCCCTGAACATGCCTGAGCGTGCCTGCCTATGGTTGTTTAGCAGTGCCTTTGTTAGGTATGAGTCATGCTGAAGAGCTCATTATTATTCATTATTTCACAATTAGTCATGCCACCGCATTGGAAGAAAACTGGGGAACACAAAGAACCACTGAGTCCCCAAGTCTGGTGAGCAAGAAGCTGCTAAAGGGGTGAGATGCTAAGGTTGACGACTGATAATTCAGACGTGAAAAGCACCACCAAAACATTAAAGAGATCAGGGGTCTACAAACATCCAAAACTTGCGTTATTCATTACATTGCATTGTGCTTCATCATCAATATTGCATGTGCAGGGTTCCCCTTCAGGGTGGGGATGAAGGTTTGACAATGTGCCACCCTCGCTATTATGTCATAGTATTGGGCTCACTTTGTGCCCCTCTCCTCTTAGGTGACTAGGAAGCCCCCCCCCCCCCCCCCCACACACACACTCCGTGCGCACACCTATGACCATCATGTAAACGCTGGTCATTATGTGCGCGCTGGTGATGCTACAGCCACTCTAACTCAACTGCTAAAGTGACAGTCATGAAAGTGACAAAATTGTGACTCGCCCTTTTCTTCACCATGAAGCTATATAAATGGAATCTGTCCACGTTTTTCAGAAAGAAAGCTGTGTTACAGATTCACATTCTTCTGCGGGTTACGAGACGTACTTTTGTTGCATAAGACCATGTGTACCTGACTTTTATGCATGATTCTCGTCGTTTCTTCTGCTCTAATTTGCATATGTTGTACGTGTCGATGCCAACTCTGTCTTTCCAGATAGCTTCAAGCCACCCGAACGGCCCGTGTCGAAGCCTTTCCGGTTATGCGTAAGCGATGTTTTCAAGGGCCAGGGGTCTGGTTTCTGCGTTTCCGGTCGGATAGACGCCGGCTGTGTGGCTAACGGCGACAAAGTCCTAGTGATGCCGGCAGCCGAGCAGGGAACCGTTAAAGGCAAGCGCTGTCTTTCTTTGATGGAACGATTTAAGAAAACCTGACGTCCGTGTTGCACAGTGGAGCAAAAGCTCAATAATTTGTATTTCACGGGACCGTAAAAAATATTGAAATTAACTGAATTCCGAAAAGTGTAAAGAATTGAGAAAGCAAAAGCAAAAGTTTATTGCATGAAGACATTTTCGTTTTCTTGATAAATATGTTATCCAGTACCTATGTTGCATAAGAGCAGCGTAGAAGCTGCAGTTTTCATCATTCGCGACTTTGTTTACAATCTCACTGAGATTCAAGACCCCATGTCTTAAGCTGAAACGTCTTCTAAGCTCATCCTTTATTATATGCACCGTCACTATCACATGATTTTTTTAAGCCGCTAAAGTGACCGGCAACTGATCTTTTGTCCATCACAACGCAGTAAGCGAGCTTTAATGCCAGCATGCAGACCGCGGCTGAAACCGATGTTCAACAGATTCCACCATGTTTCTGTTTTGTGACTCGCGTATTGCTTGAAGTCAAAATGAAGCTGCCTTATTCTCTGTGGACAAAACTGTGGTTTGCTGAAGACACGGTCATTGCTGTTTTGGTTAGCGAACGCCGTTTTCGCTCCTTTGCGTTGCACATTTGTGGTGCTTCACACACAGCGCTCACTGAGAATCATTCAAATGAACTGAGTTGAGGCCGAATATGACCGAATAAATGAATTTGATGCCAATAAACAATAGATATGCTGGCCGAGACTAGAGTCCAAGTCAGAATTCTCCAATTTTCTCGAATGATATGTGGGGTTTAACGTCCCAAAACCACCATATGATTATGAGAGACGCCGTAGTGGAGGGTTCCGGAAATTTCGACCATCTTGGTTTCTTTAACGTGCACCCAAATCTGAGCACACGGGCCTACAACATTTCTCCCTCCATCGGAAATGCAGCCACTGCAGCCGGGATTCAATCCCGTGACCTGCAAGTCAGCAGACGAGTACCTTAGCCCCTGACCACCACGGCGGGGCCATCATCTGGTGGAGCACCATTACTTTGCATGTCGCGTACACAAATTTGCATGCCGTGACCGAAATCGACACGTTTTGTTGATAACAAAATCGGCAGTGTAGCACTATCTGAAACGTGAATCTTAGACACAGTAATCATGCAGGAATCACCATTGACGAGTTATCAACGACGCAAGCGTTTGCGGGTGATCAAGTGGCACTGACACTGGCCGGTGTGGACATGATCAAGGTGAGATTGGCCAGCGATGCTCGAAGTGTGTCGCCATGTGGTGATGACAACTTTCTCTAGAATTTGTGTTTTTTAGGCTTCTAATGTTCATTATTTTTTAAAGTGCGTCACTCCTGTATGGCCAAGTCTGCAGCTGCCATGGTGGTGATGGTGAAAGATTTATTTGAACAGGGAATTCAGGCACGTCTGGCCCAGGATCCCCGCACGACCCCCACTGCTCTATGTGTTCATGAGTTCATGCAGTTCCATGACGTGGGCGGCCCAGCCAGTGGCGGTCTTCTGCTTGGATGGGTCCGTCGAGTGCAGCAGGGTCTCCCATTCCTCCCATGTGGTCAGTGGCTACGGGCCCCGTGGGGGAAAGTCCGCCATGCATTCGAGGAGGATGTGGGTAAGAAGCGTGGGGGTGAGCGCATTAAGCACAGGATGGGGAGTATGCTCCTGGGTAGATGCGGGAAAGGAAATATAGGGAGGGAAGTGAGCGGGCCTGGAGGTGACGCCATAATATCTGGTGAAAATTGTCCAGGGATCCGTGGGGTGGAGGGTATAGCTGGCGTTCCACACGGTATGCTTCAGTCATCTCGCTGAAGGAATGCATGCGCTCCCTGGAAGAGCCCGGCTCGGAGTCCGCTGCCTTGGTTGATTAGACCTTGGGTGTGGTCATTGGCGGCTCCGTTACCGGGATTTCTAGAGTGAGCAGGCACCCAGATCAGCTCCACATGGCAGGCCGTATGTTTGGGGGGCAAGCTGAGTCTGCCGAAAGTGGTCTCATGGACTCGGCCTCGCGCAAAATTTAGAATTGCGGTTTTTGAGTCGGAAAGGACGTATCGGGCATCAGTGCAAGTGAGGGAAAGTGCGATCGCCACTTCTCCCGAGAATTCCGGGTTGGATGCAGGAGTTAGGCGGAGAGTTGCGATGGGCTGGAGTGTGCGATCAACAACTGCAACTGCCGCATCATCGCCCGTGCAAGCTGTATCCACTCATATGGCATCCTCCTCGAAACCGTAGTGTTTGTGGAGAGCTTTTGCGCAGGCCTTGTGGCGGGCCGAATGGTATGCAACGTGGGTGTTTTAAGGGAGAGGCTTCATGGTGAGCCGTGTATGTGTGGAGGGACTGGTCTGTCCCTCCACACATACATAGGGGTCGGCCGCTGGTATGTGAATGTTGAGGGTGTCAAGTATGTGGCGTCCAGTAAAAGTCTTAGCTAGACGAGTGTATTGGGCTTGTCTGTGGGCCTCTATCAGTTTCTGTGTAGTGTTATGAAGCCCAAGTTGAAGAAGTTTAGTGGTGTGGGTGTTAGAAGGGAGATGTAAAGCCACCTATTAAGCCTTTCGAAGCATGGCATCTGGGGTGGCTATTTCTTCTTGTCGAAGTCGGAGATATGGGACTGTATAAAGGAAACGGCTCAGTATAAGGCATGAATGAGTCGACACAAATCGTGTTCTTTCATGCCATAATGTTTGCCAGAAACTCGGCGGATGAGGTGCGAGAGCGCCTGCGTCACCTGCTTCAGTTTCCGGATGGTGAAAGTGTTACAGCTCTTGTTTTGGATGTGTGAGCCCAAGATCCGGAGTGTGTCGACCTCCGGGATAGCACGGCCGGTCAGAGTAATGGTGATAGGGGTAGTGGGAAGAGTACACGGTGAAGGGCGTATGAGAAGAAGCTCAGATTTTTCCAGGGAGCAGGAGAGACCAATGCTTTGTGCGTGTTGCTGTGTGATGTTGGCAGCGGTTTGTAATGTTTCCTCTAAGTCTCCATCACTACTGTGGGTAGTCCACAGAGTGATGTCGTCGGCATAGAGGGTGTGGGGAAGGTGAGGGATATTGTCAAGAGCTCGGGCTAAGGGAATGAGTGTGGCATTGAAGAGATAAGGGAAAAGGACTGAACCTTGCGGAGTGCCTACTCCGCCAAAGGTGTATGAAGGGGACGCGTGGGGGCCCATATGAACCTCGGCCGTGCGTCCTGAGAGGAAGGATTGTATGTATGCGTACATGCGAACACCCACATTGAGGGGTGTAGAGCCGCCATGATCGCTCAGTGTTCTACGCGATCAAAGGCCTTGGTTAAGTCCAGGGCCAAGACGGCTTTAGTATGAGCGGGGATTGTAGGATCAAGGATGTTGTGTGTCAGTTAAAGCATGGCATCGTGGGCGGAGAGAAATGGGAGGAAGCCCACCATAGTGTGCGGGTATAGATTATGGTCGTGCATGTGTTGAGTTAGTCTGTTTAGTGCAACGTGTTCAAGAAGCTTCCCAAGACACGATGTGAGTGAAATAGGCCGAAGGTTTGATATGGTAAGGGGTTTGTTAGGTTTAGGGACAAAGATAATCTTGGCATGGTGCCAGGATTGTGACAGGGTGCCTTCTTTCCAGCATTTATTAAAGTATTCTGTAATCTTGGCAATCGATTGATCATCCAGTTTATGGAGCATAGAGTTAGTAATCATGTCTTTTCCCAGTGCTGAGTTCGTGCGGATGTTTTGGAGGGCCATACGAACCTCTTGCTCCGAAATTTCCTTGTCCAGAGTGTCATTCGGGGCTCCTGTGTAGGGTGGGAGAGGAGAGGAGGTGCCAGCTACTGTGTGCGTTGTGCGGAGTTGGTCCAGAAGACTGTCAGGGGAAAGCGTCAAGTTGTGAAGTAGGCGTGTAATGTGATGTGACATGCGTGAATGTGTGGGATTGATAAGGTGCCGTAGGAGGTGCCAGGCATGTTTTGTGGAAAGGTTGCCCAGCTATGCTATTGCACACCTGGCTCCATTTGGAATGGCACAGCTCCACGGCGTGCGTAGTTATTTGCGTCTGTAGCGGGGCCAGTCGGCGTTCTAGCGTTCTGTTATGTTTATGCCGTTTCCATCTCTCCTGAATGCTGTAGTGCGCCTCCCAGAGGTGGGCTAGGCGTTTGTCCAATGTAGGGGTGTTGGGTGGTGTGGTAATGTGTTGTGTGTGCGCGGTGACATCATTTAGGAGAGATGTGACCCAATGAACAATGCCTTGTATTGGGGTATTGCGGAGCTCTCAACGAGCGGATCGTATAGCGTCCCATTGAATAAGATTCTGGGTGAGAAGTCGAAGCCTGTGGGTTGTGTAAGGTATTTGTATGGCAACAATGCAATGGTCGCTTCCAAGTGTGTGTTGCGTACGGGACCACGAAATATCTTTGAGTGAGCGGCTTAGTGTGAGGTCTGGGTTAGTGTCCATGGTTACGCTATTGCTGATTCTAATTGGTGTGTGAAAGTTGTTATGTGTAGTGAGGCGCAGGTCTTGGAAAGTAGTCCGAAGCCTGCGACCCCTTGCTGTGGTGTACCTCGTATGAGTAGGGCGTTTCGGCCCGCAATGCGGTGAATTCTCTCCAGTAGAGCATTGAGAGTGGCCATGGCCTGGCGTGGTGTGTGGTAGATATTGGCTATAAATATTGGAGGTGGGCCGAGTTTTGTGGGGATGATCTCTATGAGGACGCATGGGGTGGGGGAGGTAATAGTGTGTTCTTGGTAAGTAATGGTGCGGTGAATGAGTGTGGACACTCGGGGAGCATCGGCAGTGTCTGAGTGTACTGCATTGTAACTGGGAAGTTTAGCTTGTTGTTGTGTGTCCTGTAACAAAAGAAGTTTGGGTATGGCAGGAAGGCTAGATACTAAAGCTGGAGCGGCGCGCGCTTACCCCGAAAGCCACGGCAGTTTCACTGAAGTAGTGAAAGGTGGTTAGAATGATCGAGACCCGTCATATTGGAGCGTGGGCGGAGCAAGGATTGACTGCTGCGGCTGTAGTGAAAGTGAGGTAGGGGGAGGGTGTGTGTGTGTGATAGAGGTAGGAGACCCCACATGTGATGAGTTGCTAATGGTCTCGAGCCTCTGCAGGCGGATCTCAAATTGCGCGAACTTACTTTCTAGGGTTTGAGTTAGGCATGTGAATAGTGCATTCATCTGTTGCTTGAAACGATTAGATAGCTGCTTGGCTAGTCTTGAGAATTTGTCTTGGAGGCGTGCCTCCAGAGCTACTATTTTGGCATCGAATTTGGCCTCCAAGTTTCTGAGGTCAGCCTGATAATCGTCGTCTCAGTCCGAACAGCGCTTCTTTTTATGAGGGGGCGAGGTATGTGTGGCCTGAGCTGTTTGATAACTTCGCGGTGGGCTGGGTCTGGGAGCAACTGTGATGAGGAGAGAGCAGGGTTTTGGGTTATGAGGGTCGTAAGACGGCTAACCTCCACACGCAGGGCCCGTAGCTCCTGGTCACGGGGGTCCGGGGGAGGCAGTGTGTTAGTCACTGGTATGCTGGTCCCCTTGGGCGTCTCCAGCTTGTCGGCCCATGTAGGTCGGTCGGAGCTTTTGGAGTGTCCATCTCGTAGGTTAGCAGGTTAGTTGGTGCATTGGCGCTTGAATCTGGTATTGTGTGGTCTACTCGTTGCTGTGATCATGCTTCACGCTCTAATGTGTGCCTGGTGACTTTAGGTAGGTGCTGGTGCTAGCACTCCCGGCTTCCCGACAGATGCGGCCCTTCGCAGATGTAGAGTACATTTAGGGTTTGCTTCCTTCTGATGTAACTGGCCACATCTGGGACATTTTTGGCACCTAGGTTGGATACATGCATCTGTGTGGTGGCCTATGGTCCGGCAGTTACTACACGTCTCGACCCTTGGTGTGTAGGGCGTGCGCTGATGCAGTCCTCCACTATAAACGATTCTCCGGGGGACTGTGGCTTGACCAAAGGTAATGAGAATGGAACGTGTGAGTCCCATTCGTCGAGCATCTAGTATGGTTTCTTGAGAGTTGCGGGCGATCAAGTTGGCGAGTAGTTCTTGTGGCTATTCTTTCCAGTAGGCGTTTGTGGTGGAAGGGGTGGTAGTTGCTTGATCTTTTGTGCAGTTGTATGGAGAATGCGCAGCTGCGGCGATGAGCTCTGTAGTGCGGGAGCTCGGGCGCCCTCCGGCGTCTCCCGCGACTGACTCGGCGTCTCTCGCACAGAACGATCGGCGTTCGTACCGTGGGTCATTTTTCGTGTTTCCAGTAGG